CTTATTACTTTAAAACCGTGTATTTATTGGCGAAGGTATAGCGTGTACCTGGAGTGTACTCCAGTTAAAATCAATGCAAACGAACAATTAAATAAATAAGAGTACAGCGTGCTGTGAGTGGAATTTCAAATCTGATGTTGTAGTCTTCATGTTTACTTTTGATTGCGGTTTTAAAACTAAAGTCAGTTATTTCTTAAAAGGAAACACGGGTTATAAAAGAGGATTAGCATGTTTCAAGCTCGTGATAGTGACACATTTAATTCACTTCAACATTTCTTTTTTCCGAATCCCCCTAACTTGTGAAATAATAGGAATGTAGTGACAGTTCACATTTCCAAATCATGGCTGTCACACTCTGAATGCTACTCCTTAAATGATAAGAAAGGTTTTACAGGTTCCTGGGAAATCCTTTAATCATGACAGGAATGAGCCAACAGAATGTATCCAAACTGTTTGGAGTTTCCATTTTATTTCTTTTTATTTTTCCCTTGCCTATAAAAATATGTATCACAAACTAATAGGTTATCTGATCCGTCATTTGATCCATTTTAAAAGCTCTGCTGCTGAAGTGTATTTAATCCTGGCTTTACCCAGTATTTGCATGCTTACTTGGGTGTGAAAGACACACCTAGTAGGTGGTGGGTTTCTTGACACTACAAAATCCTAAATTATTAAACTGTTTATTGTCCTCTGCTCTGAGGGGACAGGGATGTGGTGGAGAGATGTGTTAGAGGTAATTGTGCTTCAGATCCTTTTACTTTACCATTTGATGGAAGGGGCACCTTTTGAACAGTTTAATAAATTAAATGGCTTTTTTTTCACGTCTGCAGACTGAAGGTTCAGGCGGGACTCACAGGCCATAAACTTAACATTATACTGCACATTCAAAGGACAGCAGTACCTGCCATTACAGATGCTTATGAGACCACACATGTGATCAACCACCACATGTTGAATAGAATAATGTGTGAATTAATTTTGGCTGATACTCTATGCTGGAAAATGATCTAACAGTAAGGCAAATGAAAGGCCTTTCTTGTTTGACACGATGAAGTCAAAATTCTCTAATGGCTTTACAACATGTGTTCTGCATGGGCACATTAAGAAGTTATTACTGGAGTTTTATGATGCCTGGTCATTGATTTAACTTCATACCCTGGAGGCAGGCTGTGACAGCATCTGAAAATTTATGGTCCATAAACAGCTTTAATTAGGAAAAAGGGAAGGACGCTCTGGAGGTGAGCTCACATTGAGCCACAGATTTGAAAGCAATACTAATGCTGATGTAATGCTTGTATGTTGATGAATGATTGTTTCACAATGGGAGACTGCAGGGAAGCAACAGGGAATTCTTGTTGGGTAAACATTCATAGAATAAAGGGGATTTGGTCCGTAGAGGAGACTATCAAAATATGAAACGGTCACGGGGACAGCCCCAGTATCTTTAATCTATTAGTCACCAAGGTAAGAAAGTTTTGCATAGAGACATTACACAACCTGAAACTAAGGAAGTAGGTCAGATTTGCATGCAACATCCCGCGATGGTGTGTGGCTAACTTTGATGTAATGCATGATAGGATATTCTCTGTATGGTGTGATTGTAAAGTCTTAGTAGCCGAATCACTTGGCACAAAGCTTTTTCACTTACCTGCCCAAATTTCTTTGCTGTTCCCATAAGGTGGGGCCAGTGCAACAAATCAGAACCTGTATGACCTAATTATTTAATTTTTTTTTTAATTGTAAGTCTTTTTTTTAAAAAAAAGAATGATTTTTCAAATGCTCTTTTGTTTCTCCCTGAGTTTCATTTCCCGCAGCAAAACAACACCTCTGCCAATTAAAGCTGACTTTTCTCAGCATGGTTTTCCCAAGAGAAGGGCAGCTACCTCACAGCTTGTTTGCTGAGAGCAACCTTAGGAAAATTACTGTGAAACATATGCTGTGCAAGTCACTGTTTCAGAAAAAATAATTAATTCATTTCTTTTATCCTCATTTTCTTCACTGCTTCCTTTAATCTATTATTCCCTTTCCTCACATGTCCTCTGCCACTCCTGCGATTCTTTCTTTCTTTTTCAACAATCACATTACTCCTGCCTTTGCTCTTTTCCATCCCTCTTTTTTTCTTGCTTCTCTCCTCAGCCAAATATCCACAGATCAAGTCTCTGATGGGTCCAGACCCCCAGTTGAAGTGGGTGGTATCGGGCATGGTCCTGACCCAATTCCTGGCCTGCTTCCTGGTCCAGGACCTCTCCTGGAAATGGATCTTCTTCTGGGCCTATGCATTTGGAGGCTGTATTAATCACTCCCTGACTCTGGCTATCCACGACATCTCCCACAACGTGGCTTTTGGTAACAAGCTGGCGAAGTGGAACCGCTGGTTCGCCATGTGGGCCAACCTACCCATCGGGCTGCCCTACTCTGCCGCCTTCAAAAAGTACCACATCGACCACCACCGGTATCTTGGAGGGGACCAGCTTGATGTTGACATACCTACAGACTTTGAGGGATGGTTCTTCTGCACCCCAGCCAGGAAGATCCTCTGGCTCTTCCTCCAGCCATTATTCTACGCCCTGCGCCCATTAGTGGTCAACCCAAAGCCAGTCGGTCGGCTTGAGATCCAGAATGCAATGGTTCAGCTTGTAGTAGACCTAATTATCTACTATTTATGGGGGGTGAAGCCCATCATTTACCTCATTGCAGGATCTATCTTGGGTATGGGACTGCATCCGATCTCTGGACATTTCATAGCTGAGCACTACATGTTCCTTAAAGGACATGAGACATATTCCTACTATGGAGCGTTGAACTTGATTACCTTCAATGTTGGGTATCACATGGAGCACCACGACTTTCCCAGCATACCCGGCAGTAAACTACCTCAGGTGAGAACATATTACTGTTAGAAATAGATTTATAACAGTATAACTTATAACTTTGGACTTGAATGTACTGAGCGTAGAAAAATGAGCACAGTTATATCACTGAATACTGTGGACACATGATATGGGCCTCTCCTGACTTTTAGAACCTAAATACAACAGACACTGGGAAATGCCAAAAATCTAATTTCTTTTTCCCATTAGCTGCAAGTATTTATGAGCTTAATGGGCAGGTTTTTTAAATGATTAACTGCCGCCTTTATCAGGACAGTGTTGGCACTTAATACAAGTTAACTGCCTTTAGGTTTGTTGACCATGAGTTTAAAGAACTCTTAAAAATCCATTTTGTTTAGTTACATTTTAACCCCCATTCACGCCCCCCTTTTCATTGTCTAGTAAAACATTTCAGTCAGGATATGTCGAGCTGCATTCACCCCGACGTACTGTTTTGTGTAATATCATACAATATGCTGTTCTGTTTGCACTTGTTCTAGTCAAATACAGTCATGTCGAATTAGGTCGAATAAATAAAAGCCCTCAAATCCTAAACACATTAACTCTGCACTTCAGATGCAGGCTTTACACTCACCATTTGCAATATTTACTCTTTCTACACCACCTTCTTTCTCACTGATATTTCTTCTCTTTCATTTTTAACTTCTGTTTTTTTTAACTGGCAGGTCAAGGAAATCGCAGCCGAGTATTACGACTCCCTGCCTCAACACACTTCCTGGAGCCGTGTATTGTGGGACTTTGTGTTTGACGACAGCATCGGGCCCTATTCCAGAATCAAACGGGAGTACAAGCTGAGCAAACAGGAATAGATCTCCGATTGATTGATTGATTGATCTGCTAAGCAAGAATGTGAATTGTAGTTGTCAGACGTCGGCTAACCACAACAGAAAGTCTAGTTTTGTTGCATAGTGTGGATGTTACCATACGTAAGCCCAATAACATGTTTGACATTGTTATCTAATCAGTGCTGCACTCGTGTTACTATAAGGCAATGTGCACATTTCAGCTGCATATTTTACACAAATGAGATTTCACCTCATATGACTGGATGTTATTTATTCCTGCTATAAAAAGACAGCCAGTGTCATTGTGCAATGTGGAAATCTACTTGTACCCAGAAAGCACAAAGAAGAATTGCGGAAAAAAAGAAGGTAAATTTTTTCTTATCTGTGACTGAAGGCGACATTAAGCCATAACTTCGGGATAAAGGTCACATACATTCTCATGTGGTTTTATGGAGATGTCACTACCCCATGCCGTTTAGTTTTCCTGATTGTGAGCGTTCGTCAAGCCTCGTGAGAGTTTCTGCAGAAGCACAATCGCTTAGATTAGCAGCTGCACATCCGTCATGCAGAACAATGCTGAAGTGGAAAATAAGCATTGAAACTTACCTTCCAGTAAGAGGAGCCTTTTCTTCTGTGATGCCTCGTTCTGCTTGGTTGCAGCTGCATCGCCGTACAAGGATTGTATCTCAGAGTGTTAGGCTTGTTAAATGACCATACTGGTGTTTCTTCAGGTTGAACACATGTTCATGAAGTATTCATTTACATCGGTGTTGCTAAGGAGCCTCTTATGACCACTCTTTGATCATACAGCTTTTCTGTTTTTGGATTTAGTGTTTGCCATTTTAAATTATTTTCTAGTGACACACTAACTGGTATAAAGAATAAAATACCATCCATCCATCCATTCGCGTCCGCTTATCCTTAGAATAAAATACCAGCGTGTGAAATGACAGACAGGGGTAAAAAAAAAAAAGCATCTACAAGAATCACAAGCCACCACAAACTGTAAATTACAAGCATGGCTACTGTTTTTATGCAGGGTTTGTGTTGTTTTGTCCACCCACTGACTGTTCAACCTAATTTATATTCAGTCTTAAGCATTATCTTGTTTATAAAAGTTCTATTTAAAAAAAATGCACTACATAAAAAATCTTTAAGGAGAAACTCTGCATTCCTGAGTGTGTTAATGCTTTTGTCACTGTGGTATCCGAAGAAAAATATGCCTTCAAGCTTAAGACAAACTCGAAGATAGTGAGACACACACACACACACACACACACACACACACACTGAGCAGGATACTGTGTAGCTGACAATTTTTTTTTTTTTTTTTTGAATGAATGAATTTACTTCCAGCTTTTTAAATGAGAACGTAGTTGAGAGCGGACAGAGTGAACAGAATGCAACAACTGATATTCATCCAAAGCCTTCCTGCAAATACACATTTAGCTACCATCACAAAGGCCTACTTTTCATCTCTTGCACTTAGCTAGGTTTGCATATTGCCAGAGCAACCGATCCTCTTCACTTTTTTTTCTCCCCACATTGCTACCATCATCAAGGTTAACATCTTGTAGAAAGGGAACGTTCATAGAAACAAACCACTATAGTAAATGTACCACCGTTTATATAGATTTTTGCATGTGTGTCTTTTTTTTTTTTTTTTTTGTCCCCAAACCAAATAAACTTATTCATAGAGATGGGGTATTCATGCATACTTGGTGGGGGGTGGGGTTCACAAAGCATAGGGTGACTAATATATATAATACTACATTTTTTTTTTTTATACCTAGGTAAAACCAGGTGGCACATTTAAAGTTATCGGCCTGTTTTTTGTGAATGATCCCCGAGTTTCAGTGATCTCGCACGTCCGAACAGTTACAGAGAAACCTCGGTCACACTGGAGTTGCAGAGCAGACTTTTTGTGTGTTGTCTGATTCATTGCTAAAAACAAAAAAAATTGTTATGCCTTTAAATATGGTGGAAATTAAGGTAATTCAAGTGGTTTAAGCTATTTTTTTCTTAAAGGTTAGATACACAACGCCAGTATGAGCAAGGTCGTAAAAAGTCTTTTTTTCCTTTCTTTTTTTTTTAAATATGCCAGTTGAGGGCAGGTGGGTATGCGGAGCCACTGTGCCCATATTGTGCTTGTTATCGTCAACGAGTTAGGGATAAACTAAACAAAAACAATAGAAAATATAAAAGGCTGACGTAGGGTGTGCAAGATTCCTTTCTCCCTCTAGAATATCAATAAAATACTCATTGTCATCAACAGCATCATCATCATTATCACCACATTTTTTAAATAATAAAACAGTAAAAACTTAGAAAACAAAAATATTTTCTTCTTAAGACTTGGACTGAACGGCAAACAAAGAGTTGCAACACTGGGCTGACTGAGTCTAGGTGCACAGAGAGGACCACAACACCAAAACTCAGCACGAATGTCCTTCTTTTCCTCACTTCTTCTTTTAGTCCATCTGTCAACCTCTGTTTGAGTTCAACCTGTACGTCAGTCTTCCTTTAATCCATCCCCACATTTCTTCTGCTCGTCCCTCTCGTTAATCCGCGCTCTCTTGTCTCCGTTTCTTCTTTTTATTGTTGCTGTCCAGCAGACTTAAATGTTGCCACAACGTCTCTGCAACTCGAACGATGGCGTCTATGAGGTCACAGAAACATTGAGAGAACATTCTCTGGTCCTCGCGTCTGTGCATCTGCGTGTCCGTCCTCCTCCAGCTCCTCCGTCGCTCTCCTCCTCCTGCTCCTCCTCTTCCATCTGTACGCTCGGATGAGATTAGGATGTACTGATTCTGCCAATTTCTTGTCTGATGGCTGAGAGAAAATAAAAAAAACAATTTAAGAAAAAAAAAGGCTACACTGCTGTTTAACTTTACAAGGACGGCTGCTGCTTACCGTTAATGATCTCGTCTTTCACTTTATGCAACTCGCGCACGACTTCGTCCAAAATCTCCTGCGGGGCAGTAAACAAGCTCGTGAGTCTCATTTCAGTTTCGCAGGGTGAACCCATAATGCGCTTTATGCTACATGGGACGTTAAACCAACCTGTTTCATCCTGTCAAACTCTGTGTCTGCTTCACTAGTGCTGCCGATGGGCCTCACTCTGAAAGGCAAATGGGTGAAGTGACTAAAAACACAGTGGACAGTGAAGTAGAACAGGCTACATATTTTTATCATTTGCATTGATAAAAGTGAATTTTCAACACTTCACTGTTGCTCCAGTGAAACAGATTTATGCCTAAATCCCTGTGGGTAATGCTAGAGGTTTGATATCCATTTCATATTCAGAACATTGCTCCTCCTGCTCCTCCTCTTATCTACAGACCTGGACACCAGTGAGGACTTTTCTGCAGAGTTGGATCGCTCCCATGGCCTCTTCACAGCATCTTGCAGAGTAAAATACTTACAATCAGATAACGTGGCTACGCCACGGACTAAAATATACTGAAATATGTGCAGATAAAGCCGATAAAGCATCAGTGTTAATACCTGTTGAGTTCTGCTGACCTGATCCCCGACCACCTGAGTCATCCTTCAAGGAGAGACAGATATTGATTATCAGACATTGAGTATTGTTAAAAACCGTAAGTAATTTCATACATCTCTGAAATATTTAAAAAAACATCCTTAAAACAATGCACATTTTGGAAAAGATCCTAGTCACGCTTCTAGAGCTTTATTTAAACACTGATACCAATCATGCCAGCAACAAATGGCAAAATAGCAAAATGCCAAAATGTCATGGTCCTGGGCCATGTTGGCCCAGCATTCTTAGTTTTCTTGTATTTTTGTATTTTGTTCCTTATGCCGTGGTTCCTAGGTTCTGTTAAAGGTGTTCCTTATTTGATTACCCCCTGTGTGCCCCTCTGTGTATCTGTGAGCCCTCGTTTCCCCTCCTTGTGTTTCATTCAATGTTTTCCCCAGCCCGTTATGTCTGTGCTCTCTCTCCTCCTGTCTGAACCTCTGTGTACTTCCTGTTTTACTTTGACAGTCTCTCATCAGTGTTGTTTGCTCCTGCCAGTGTTGTTCACTCCTACCCTGTCCCGTTACGATTATCTGTGTCAGCGGTGTTCCCCGTGTGCTCCCACTTCCCTCGTTAACCCTCTGTGTATTTATGTGCATGTCTCCCTCAGTTCAGGGTCGCGTCATCAATGTCTCCTCCCTGAACCTGTGTGTCTTTCTGTGTTCCCTCGGTCTTCTGTTAGCATTCCCAGTTTAGTTCTGTTTCGTTGTAAGGCCTGCAATAAAGCAGTGATTTTGAGTTCAGTTCCTGTCTCCGTGAGTTTTGGGTTTGGGTCCTCATCTGCCTCCACACAGCTAGTTCATGACACAAAAACTACAATTCCTGTACTGGTCGCTTGAGACCAGTGCTAACACTGAGTCAGTCCCATGTTAAAATGCTCAGATTTAGACCTTTAGAAGTCGTGTTTACACCCTGTTCTCCACAGCTTATTTATCCCTTTAGTGTGTGGGGGATGAGTTTCTTTCATAACTCATCAGCTGAACTGGATTGCGCCTTTAAGTCATGCATTACTAAGGGCATGAATGTGCTGACTGACAAGTGACAAGTGTTGGGGCTTTTTAGTGTAAATGATCTAATCATCAGATAAGACAGTGTTGAAGTTTTGGTGAGTGAATCTTTGCTATTCTATTTATATGCTACTTGGCTCCAAGCACTGAGAAGCCATCCATGGCCATGTGATGCACAGATAAACTTTATGCATGCAATTTCCCAGTTTGACTCCAATCGTTGATCCAAAAATGATAACTTCTGGCTCCAAAAAAAATAAGCAACAACAATTACAGTGCTAAAAATATAAGTCCAGGTAACTGTGGCGAGGTCCATGTTTTATATCAGGTCTGTAATCTCTATGCTAAACATAAGATCTGTCAATAACTTGTTAGTTTAGCTGTTATCATCTGTTTTTCAAAGGTTGGATATCTCTCTAGGCTTGAGTCTCACATTTAAAAGAATGAATTGAAACTGGTATCTTTTCTATCAGCTCTCGATGATAAAGAAAATAAGGGAAATTCCCAAAAATGTTGAGCTTTATCTTTAAGCACAAAACTTACTTCATCAGGTTTCTCAGAAGCTTTTCGTCTAAAAGAGAAAAGGGAATGAGGAAACTGTGTAAAAAGAGTGAGCTTTCAGTGAGAATTCAGAAACTAGTATGAATAGATTGTGACACGGATATGATACGAACCCAGAAACATTTTTTTCGATAGATATTTACTGTAAGGAAAACAAAAAGGCTAACGGAACAGGTTTCTGTGTCACTGCATGATCTGACAGGTGAAGGGGTAAAAAGTTTGTGTGTGTTTAGAAAGTTGTTTGACCTGCGTGCTAGTAAGGCATTCATCTCCTGCATCAGTCCCTCCCCTCCGCCGCCACTGCCACCGCTAGACCGGTTGGAGTCACTTTTGCCACTAGAACCAGGAGGGCTGCTCTCATCCTAAACAAAGACACATTACAAAACAGGTTTCCTTTTTTTCTCCCGTGGGGGTAGGTGGAACCTTTCTGCCTAAAATATGCTAATAACATTCCCTTGCTTTAGTCTGAACCTCCTCAGACTAAAGCAGGGAGGCTCACCCTATTCACTTTACGTAGCTTGGCTCCAGCCAGTGCCGCAGCCAGTCCTGAGGGTTGGTGTTGGACCCCAGGTGGGCCACCAGGAGGCCCTCCACCAGCGGGTAATGGAGGGGGCATGGGTGGCGGCACGGCCATTGGGGGTGGTGGACCAGGTGGTGGTGGTGGGGCTGGAGGACCAGCCATAGGTGCTGGAGCTGCAGCTGAAGGAGGTGCAATAGAAAGCAGAGATGGGTTACATGCAGAGATGAGAACACTTGGGAGGAGTAAGATTAAATCCTGATTAAAGGTTGGGGGCCTGACATATAT